CTTATACTCCGAAGGAAACCAGAAAACCCTCCAGCCTAGTTCAATAATAAGCCTGTGGAAAGTTACTTCTTCAAAAGCAAAAGTATCTCATATCATCTCTTCTCCATTTGCTTTTCCTTATCCTTGGTGCTATTTACGACACAAGGAGAATGAGAACAATCAACCAGAAGCCAAAGTCGAACCTTCGATCCAAGTTGCTTGCTTGGAAGTCTGATTGGTTACCTTGTCTGTTACCTCCTTCGGCAAATCTCTTAGCTTGGCGACTTGGGGGACTCCTACTATAGGGTTTGTATCGCATTTGACCAACCCTGAAACTACAAGTAAGCTTCAAGTGAAATTGATACATTACCTTGTGCATCTTCATCGGTTAAAGATACCACCCCTGGATGGAGGAAAAGTACTTCCAGAGAAGATGCCACATCTATATATGAGACAGATAAGGCAAGCGAAAATGATACCACACTTCGGTACTAAGAAGTTTCGTGATTACTCAATGGCTTGGATCTTGGAAGTCCCCAACCAAGGGGCTTCCCTTACTCGGGAACTTAGGGGAGCACTGTTTGTACCATACTTGACTAATCCCGAAACTACTAAGCACAGGTCAACGTTATACCGTCAAGGACCCAGAAGAGTTTCCCTCCAACCAATAGGCCAATCACAGTGCGACACGTGTCGACATCAGAAACCAATCATAGCGCGACACATGTCTACATCAGAAGCCAATCACAACACGACACGTGTCAATGTCAGAATGAAACTAGAAACTCTCTTTTATAAATAGAGATCATTCTCTCACAATATTTCCGAATGTCATTTGTACTAAATCATTCACTAGTACTCACTAAAAGAGAGCTTGAACCTATGTACTTGTGTAAACCCTTCACAATTAATGAGAACTCCTCTACTCATCTACTCCGGGATATGTACCAAGCACAAGTCATGCCTCGAATTGCGTAGTAATTTTTTGTACACTTTATGGTTGCATCTAACCTCCCCTTAGACTGCCTACGTACCCTAACCAGGGATCAAGCCATTCGTAGTTCACCGTTTCACTACACTCGAACATTCATCACATAAATCGTTATGTCTCAACAATATACCACAATGCATATCATCCAATATTTCAAAGAATAAACGACGAAACACAATCATATTCTATAACCATATTGATCAACAAGTCTAATCATAATGCCAACAATCACAACCAACATCATTCCACAATCACATCATCAATAACACATACAAAACACCGAAATGCAGGGCTAGAGCGACACAGTTCGGCCGAAGCCTACATCTCTGAAAAATGGGATATTAGACCACTCAACGAAATCTAACAACATCGGGTTCCGGACCACTCAAGGGAATCCAAACCATGATATGATTTCGAACCACTCAACGGAATCGAGGAGTAGAAGGGATTTCGTACCTTTCAACGGAATCTGAGTAGATGCGATTCCAGACCACTCAACAAAATCGCGGAGTACAATGGGTATCATAGCACTCAAAGAAATCCAAGGCAATATACGATTTCAGACCACTCAACGAAATCGCAGATCACGAGGGACCAAACCACTCAACAGCACCCCAGCGGAGACCTAGTTCCGGATCACTCAACGGAACCGAGCGGAAGGCCAAGGAACATAACAACGGCTCGAAGAAATAGAACATGAATCAAGTGCTCAATTTACAAAGGCTTATCGAAATGAAACAAAGTACAAGTACTAAAATTAGAACGTTCAAGGAAGCAAGAAATGAAATAGTAAAATGGGATATGAAACAAGTTTCGAAGCAACAAACCCCATGGCAATGGGTTAACGACCCATTACTAGCCCTCACATTTCATCATATTATACCATCTATGCAAATCAACCACATTTCAAATATGCACGTCAAATCACATATCACAATCATCATCAGTACACAAGCCAAATCATGTTTAATAAACATAGGTCTATGGCTAAATATATAAAATCACATTTCAATAGAAATCACATTATAAAACCAAGTCATATTCACAAATGATACCAATATAAGAAATCAAGGTAATAACCCTATCATATATATTCAAGTCACTCTCTAACTAATGTGGGCCCTCTATACTTTACTTAAGTTTCTTGTAGTACTAATTTTAGTATTTAGAACGTTTCGAGACATGTTGACCAATAGTCAACTCTCGGTCAAAGGTAGGGTCCACAATCCTACATAATTCGATCAGGAAGATCCGTCCTTTGGATTTCAGATTCGTAACTTTCTAAGATCTACATTTTGATTCTAAAACAACAAGCTAAAATTCCATGGCGATCCGACGGTCGGATCTCTGCCAATTGCTAGAATTAGGTGGCAGTCAACAATTAGTTTTACAAACTTAGAAATCCAATTTGGGAAGATCCATACTTCAGATTCCTGATCTGTCAGTTTCTAACATCCTTAAATATTACGTTCTATAATGCATTAAAGTTTGGTGACAATCTAACGGTCGGATCGTCGATTCATATAATAATCAAGTGGAGTTTTCTAATGAAAATGGGTTCAAACGATCAAATTACCTCAAGTAAATATCAAATATGAAATTAGGACATCAATTTAGCATAAAATAGCATCGTCGGTCCACTGGCCACGCCCCGCCGCGAGTGGTGGTTTCCAATGAACGGAAACCCGATTTTCCGACTAACTCTAAAATTTACCAAATTTTACAAACAAGTAGAGTTCAATGAGAGGAATAACTTTCATACCTAGGTCGAAGTCCAATTCAGCCGAGAAACACCTCAAATCTGCCTCGATTCGCCGGAAACCCTATAAAATGGTGCACTTTGATTCGACTTCCAAACGAGCTTCAACTCCTTCACCACTGCTTGGCTTTGTTCCTAGGGTTGAGGTAAGTCTATTCATGCTGAGGATCAACGACAATAGTTTTCAAAGTCACCAGAAAAGGAGAAAATTCGCCGGAAAACCCTCGGCTCTTTATGGCTTCAACCTGGAAAAAATGGGTGATAAAATGGGAACTCTAATGACACCAAGATGTTTGGCTCATCGAGACTTTTCCATGAACACCAAGATCACCCAAAACGGGAGGGAGATGGGGCGGGGTCATAGTTGATGGTTCGCGGGTCGAAAACGGGTTAGGGGGTTGGCTAGTTCCCCCTCTCCTTCATTTCCCTCATTTCTCGTTTTCCTCATTCGTCACTTCCTCTCTTTCCCATCTCCTCATTGGCCCAAACTCCCTCATTTTTCCTCCTTTTCCCCCGTCTCTTCCGTCCATCTCTCTCCTTTCTCTCCTCCACTCTTCATCACAACCGTCCACGTGGCTTAATTAGATTGCTTTAGAAAATCTGGAGCCTTCTAGATGAGGGCCAAAATTACAACAATGTCCCTATTTTAAATGTTAATAACTCTTTCATTTTAACTCCGTTTCACGAACGGTCTGCGCCTACGCATTCGTGAGATTGAACTCTATTCAGAAATATAGATTGTGACCTTGAAAGGTCTACGAATTTTAAATAATTAATTTCCAAACTTCAAACTTCGTAACTAGTTTAATTAAATCTAAATTCAAATTAATTAATATAAATTCTAAAAAAATAATACAAAATATGAATAATACAAATACATAGATCATAACAGCGAAATCCAGGAATGAGATTTCACAAGTGCACAATACAAGAAAGCCACCTGAAAACCATAGAATTTGAAGGAAATCATTTGGAAATTTAGACTTTTTGTTAGTCAATTTTTTTTTTTTGGATGAAGACAATGTTGTGAACTTTAAGCAATCCTTCCTCAAATACATTTGGTGTTTTTTGATTTTGAACAGAACCAAACAATGGAACAATATTTTTGATATGGTAACAATGAAATGATCAGGCATTGCATTCTCTCATGGTTGCTCAAAATATGCTAAGATACAAAAGCGGGTGTGTTCAGTTTAACATGTTACGAAATCGAATTTTATATAGGCTTTGTAATATGAGAAATGGGCTGAGATTTGGTGCCATAAATAGAGTTGTAGATGCGTATGCATTGCTTGAACACAACTATCCGCATGAATAGCCTTTAACACAAAATTTAAGAGTTTTACTAAAGACAAGTAAAGAATTAGTGAAAAAATCTTAAAATGATATAAATAACCCTGAACACAAGTCTCGCACATGATTTATTTTGGATGAAAAACTTAACGGAGTTAGGGTGAGATAGCAAATTGATGATTTCTCAAAGTTGGTATGACAAAGTGCTTAAAATTTTAGTTAATATGATAAATTGAAATATGGATACAAGTTCATATAACATTTTAAAAATTTTCCCATATATAAATAGTTGGCAAGACTCTAAATATTTCGATGCTTCAACTTCGAACTATCCACTGTTGTATCTCAAATATTATATTATATTATACACATACTAAAACCCTATTATCTGGCACTGTTTGCACTGTTTATAAATAGTGAAATGACGGAATGCCCTTATTTTCTTCTCTGTTCCCCGTTCTTTTTCCTCCTTGGCACAGTGAATTAACGTGTTTGTCCATGCTGCCCACGTGTCGATCATCGTCGACTGCTCCCCTTCCACTGCATCTCGAATTTTCCTTCCGCTTCCACTTTTTTCTCTCACAAAGCTTGGCTTTTCATTTGCTTCCGGTAGTCCTCCATTTGCTACGAACTCCAGTTCTCTCTCTCAATTTTGCACGAACCAGAACATAGGTTGTTTATCCCTTTCTGATTCCAAAAAACCCTAATCCCTTTTTCTGTAAATTGAATTAGTACTAGCTGAACAGAGTTTCTCTCTGCAACTCCTCTCCCACGAGCTTGAACCTCAACTATGGAGGGAAGCTCGCTTCTCTTCTTCTCCCCATTTAAATCCCCCCCTCTTTCTCCTCTTCTTCTTCTTCTTCCTTGCTCTTCGGAAAATCCCGCCTTCTGGGTTTAATCCCCATTTCTCTCATCCCAAATGTGTGCATGTCGGATCTCCGTCCTAAATCCTGACGCAATAACACTTCAAAGGTAAAGTTGTATTATTATTTTCTCTCTGTGATTTCATGCATGCTTCCATATATATTGAAATTGTCCAGTTTACTAATGGATGTTTCTGTATGATTTTGCATGTCTCCCTTGATAAAATCTTGAGCAAAATATGCTTATGAAATCGATCTGATTTAGCTTTATAGATGTGTCTGCATCTGTACTGCTTATTTGCTACCCATATAAACATATAGCTTTATATGAGGGTGCCCCTCATTTGCAAATGTGTTTTATGCGATGTTTATATATCTAGGCACTGGAATTAGTGTTTTTTGTTTTTATTTTGATCCTAGGGGCTCAAAACAGAATTTTTTTGTTGTTGTAAGTATATATGTGAACATATAATATCAGCATTTGGAGTGAATCGGGTTCATTTTAAATTTTCTTAAATTTATTGATTATTAGATGACATAGTTAACAGTTTTTGTGATTTTAAAACAATTGAAGGTGAGATTTACATAATTAAACAATCAATTAAAATTTTGAATTGAGTGTTAGTTTTACCTGACTGATTTCTTTGTTGGGTTTATTACTGCTCGATGTTAACACTCAAATATGGTTTTTGCGCAAGTGGTGATCGGCCTGCTTGGGTTAGGAAAGACCACTTATTGCAATGGCATGTCTGAGTTCCTCCAGCTCATCGAATGTAAAAATTTTACTTTGAATTTCGGGTTTTCAAGTTTTTCCATGACTTCAATTTTGGTTTTTGAATTTGTTTGAAATATTTACAATGGCACTTTGTTGTTTTGGTGTGCAGGAAGGTCGCTGCGGTAAATTTGGATCATTCCACTGATGCATTGCCGTATCCAATGTCGTATGTTGAGGGTAATAGAGTAAAGCTACTGGTCCACCTTCTTTTATTTGGTGATTTCTACATTTTAAATCCTACTCATTCTACTTAGTTTTTGTTCGATTTGGGTTTTGTAGTTCAAAGCCGATTTGGGGATTTTGAAATGGTGGACACCGGGCCCAGTTACACCACTTCAGGTACTTCAATTCCAATGCTAGGACTGTGCATTTCTTTTGTGTAATTTTTATCTTCTGCTGATTTCGATTGAATTCCAAGAAATTTTTTATGTGCTTAGTTTAATTTGTAGTTGTCCAATTGTTATGAAGATCTGTGAATGTGTGTGAATTATTGATTTCTGACTTTTGTTGAACAATATGAAATTGCCATTTGTTGCCATTTGTTGTGGAACCATGCAGGATGATATCATAGTGGATCCAATGGAGTCTCCAGAGATTGTTGATGATCCATTCCAAACTATGTGAGTTTTCAAGGTAAATAATCTCTCACCATATACTTTTCCACTTACTGGGATTTACTTAATTTGACCTATTTTCTTCAGTTTGATTCAAATTAAAATTTTAATTTTTTTTTAAAAATAATTTGGAAATTAGGCCTTTTATTTTGTGCGTTTTGTTTGTTATTTCATTCTCAGTTGAAAAGTGGGAGTATAGCTCAGAGAAAAACCCTTGATTGAATAAATTACTGGTATGGTTCCTCACATAAGAAAAAAACTTCAATTTTTCTTTCCTCAAAATTTTGGTTTTTATTAATTTTTTTTTTCCGCAAATTGTAGTTTTTATTTGTTGCATTTTTCAGCTACCCTCCACAATGAACAACCTGCTAAAGCTAATGTATTTGATTTGAAAAGAACAAGACTAATTTTGTCATTAGTATCTGCATTTTCACATCAATGTAACTGACTGATGCAGAAGAGCCAATTTAACATCAGCAGATATGAGGGAATCTGATTTCAGTGGTTCAACTTTCAATGGTGCATACATGGAGAAAGTTGTCACATATAAGGCAAACTTTGAGGTAAGAACTTCGCACTTTACAAATAGATACTAAAAAGTGAACAAAGCATAAATAGCTTTAGCTACCTATCCTCCAGTATACGTTTGCATCATGAGATCACCCAAAAGACACAAAACCCACCTTCACTATCAGTTCATTTCCATACAAGTTATCTCGGATTGTTACAGCATTTAGGCCATGCTTAATATGAAGGACTAGACTACACATGAATGATTAAGAAGGGCTATCCATAAGGGGTTGATGTCTAAAGTGTATCCCTAATCTTATCCCCACTAATCCCCTTACAAATTGTAAGCAGACATATTGAAATTTATGTATATAAACTTTTTTTTATAAGAACAGATGTAATTTAGAATCATACATGTGTCAACATGGTGGTAGTATATTATTGAACGACACTATAGATTAATTATGATGCCGAAAGAAAGTTGCGCATTACTTGCGTATAATTTATTTTGTTTGTTCAGGGAAGAGCATGGTGGCATGTGCTTTGGGTGGGAGTTTGTACTACAGGGGAAGCTGTCGTACATTCTTGAAGTAGAACATTGTGCAGAGAACGTTCGGAGGATTGGTATGTATGTCTTTGCCTCTTTTTAGATTAAATAAACCCTCTGTTTAGATTAACTATGGCTTTCGGCTTCATTATGTATTCATGAAACTAATTTGTGCAGTTTTTCAATTCATCTGGGGTATTTGTTATTTGAAGGACGCTAAAATTATTTATGGGTTATAGGAACCATGGGTTAAGAAAATGGGTCCAAATTCAGAGCTGCGTTCTTCTTCCCTCAAAATAAGAAGAAAACACTTCCTCAGCACCAGATTTTGGCACCTCAGGTATATTTGTGTTCTAAAGCCTTCTACTTCTTTAAGTTTCTTCTTAGCTATTATTTTGCCCATATGTGATTTGTAAAGTGCAAGATTTGATTTCATGTCTTGAGTACTTATGGTTTTGTACAGTGCAAACTTGAGCTTATTGATCCAATTGGGTAGAACAGTATACTTAACCAATTTCACTTAACCAATTTCATATCCTCTTGGCCAAAGGAGAGTATAATACTTGCCACTGAGAAAAATACTTTATATAATTGCGATGTGTTGGTGTGTGGCATGCTCTAATTAGGGATATTTTTGTGTTATAAGAAAGCCATAGAGAGTCGCATTTTTGTTTTTTTGGATTTGGTTAATGTTTCAGTCGTAAACGTGATTATGCAATGAAAGCTGAGGACACACAAATATTACATTGAGTTTGGAATTTGTAAGTTACAAGCTCATGGAAAGTAAGCTTTTGTAATTGTCTAATGACATGGTCAAAGAGTTGTCCACCTTATGTTTACAATGGTCGTCAATGAACACTGTAGTCTCATTCCATGGGAGAAATTTCAAAGTAAGATGTTAAATATCTGAAATAAGCCTAATGTGGAAATTTATTTCATTGTTTCTTTTTTTGTATGAAAAAACAGTTAGTGTTGAAATTTTCTTGGTGCTTTGTTTTATAAACATTCAGGATGGGGATTATTTAGCTTTCATTGATTGCCATCGGTTTTTAAGTTTTGTCTCTGCTTTTCTGGGTGCCTGTAAAGCTCCCTCTTCCTCTTTCCTTCCCTCCATTTTTTTCTTATAAGTTTCGTGCTAATTTCATTATCTTGAAATACATTTGTGATCAACTATAGTTTTATATTACTTTTTAACATTTTTACAATTTTGGTTACAACACATTTAGTTACCCATTTTAACACATACAACGCTTATAATTATAGTGGCATTCAGCCTAACACTAATTTCTAGTTATACGTAATAACGACTAACTTTCTGCATATAATTTCCCTTTGTGTCCTTTTTTTTGAAATGTATAACACATAGTAATAGCTTTTTACATTTCTTTAACCTTTTTGTATACTAATTCCACTTTTTAAGTAGTTTGCATTCCCGCGGCATCGCGCAGGCTCTAGTATATTTAACTTCTGTTTCCTGTTTTTTTATTGTTCATTCGCCAGTGTTCTTCCCTTTTTGCCCTTTAGTTGTCTTTAAGTTTAGCTTTTTGTGTGTATTATACAGTAAAATGACGTTTTTGTCCTTGCTGTTCGATAGAAATGTCTCGATTTCTTCTGGAAGCCGAGCTCCTGATATCCACGCGTCCTCTGCTTCTCTGAGATGTCGACGCGTTGCATGGTTCCAGGAGTTCTCGAGCCTTCCTTTTTGGATTTCGATTTTGATCCCCGCCTCACAAAAGCTCTTCGTACTCTGATGGCTCTCCGATCTCCAGTTCTCTCTCTCTCTCTCTCTCTCTCTCTCTCTCCCTTTCTTGCTCAAAACCATGATTAGCAACCTTAAGCGAGAAACTCAGTTTTCTCTTCCTTCCTGCTCGACTTGATTCGAACAAAAAATCTCTTGCACGAAATCAATTTTCTCCCCATCACCGATTTCGACCGCATGCACACCTATCAAGCCTTAGAATCCAACAGAACTCACCCCCCTCAAGCCCGTTTTTGCTCTTTCACTCGCTGCCCAGAAAATCAAGTTCTCAAGGTTCGATGTTTCATCGATTTCCTCCCCCTCAAAGATTATTTTGGTCTTTCGTGCACACTGATTTTTTATTTCTATTAATTTTGGTTTTGTGATTAGTGATTTTTGTTCTTAGTTCTACTAAATTTTTTGAGTTTTTCTTTCTGTTGTTTCTATGATTTTTTGTTCAGCATATTTCAATTACTCTCTCTTGCAGCGGAGCCACCGCGACCACTAGGGGCCACTGCTGCGTTAAATTATGGGCTTCAATCGTTTTCTAAAACCTTCTGTATTCATGGTAAGTTATTCTAGGTTTTATTCCATATTCAGATCATCCCCAATTTCGAAAGTTTAGGGAATTGATTCGTTTCCGTGTTGCATGTTTAACATTCTTCTGTGTGATGCTGAGTTGAGGCTATACGAACTGGAATCGTTGAGGGTAGGCTTGAATTTGGCCAAATTTGGGTAAGAACCGTTAAAATCTAATCCTAATTTTCTATAAAATTCCTTGTATATTTATTATTTGTTTCCAACAGCAGGTGATCAGGAGTTTTATTTGATCTTCTCTATGCAGAACCAGAAAGACCTTGGAATCACACAGTAAATCAATAATGCAAATGGACAGATCCCATCAGAGCACTCTGTTACCCCTCTGTTACATGATTTTGTACATCCGTTATATGCTATCTCCCGAATGCTTATCCGCCTACTGCCTATTACTATGGAGGTAAAACTTATGGCTGAACTCTTTTTGCTTGAGATTAGTTTATTGGTGGATCTCTTGAAATTCATGTGTAATTTTTTAAAACGAAATTCATGTGTGTTCATGAGAATTTGTATACTTCCATTCAAGACTTATAAAAGGAAGCTTCTCCTGACGGTAATTTCATCTTTTATAGCCTCACCTTCACACCATTCTTCACTGAATTTGTTAAAAAACAGGAAGAAAGAAAGCAGCCTACAATTTTATAAACTATTGTCCATATGCCTTTTTAATGGTATCAATGGTAAGTTGACATTTAATATAATTTCACACTTTCATTATATTGTGCATTAAGTTTATAACTAACTTTATATTTTGTTTTCTTCCTATAGAAGGCACCCTTCTCAACAGCAAAAGTCAATTAGTTTAACAACTATCAAACCTCTTAAAAAATCTTATCAATGGTTGTAACAGCATTGATAGCCAGTAGAAAAGTACAAACAATTTCTTTCTTCATAATAATTATTACCATAAATCATTGGTCTACGATTTTTCTATTCTTTTGCAATTATTGCTTTCTTTGCTTGAATGAATTTGGATTTTTTTTCCCTTTGCAAATATGAATCTTTGCTATTTGCAAATGTTTTTATGCATAATTTACAAAGTTTATTTTCTGGAAATTCTGTAGTCTATAGTATGCATATTCATTGAATAATATGTGACGATTCCTTTACAGCACTGCAGGGCATGCGGCTTCTGGAACCGGTGAGAAATTGCAGCTCCCCTGGGCTCGATCCATTTTAGATTTGGGGGGTCTGATTTGGAGGAAAAGAAAAGAAATAAAATTTGGGTTTTGGATTGATGTGGTGTTTAATTTTATTTAATTTTTATTCTTGCATGTTTGATTTGTTTTGAATTTTTGCATGTTTGATTTTTTTTTTTTTTAAATTTTCACTGTTTGTTTTGTTCATTACAGGCTTACAATGTTTGATTAATTTCTATGGGGTGAGTTGTTAATTTTTCCTCTATTTATTCATGTTATTTTATGAATGCTTAAATGTTCTGTATCTAATCTCACTAACACTTTTGAGTGTATTTTTAACAATGGTTGTCACTATTTTTTCCTGTTAATTTTTAAGTCTCTGTGTGTTTTTCACTGCAAACTTTGGACATCGATCTGTTTTGTTGGTGGTTTGATATGTTTTGTGTGGTGTTTTTCAGTCAATTGACTCAATTCATATGATTAATTCCCATGGTTTTCATGCCATATTGGTTGAATTTATTATAACTATATTTGATTTTGTTGCAGCGATATCCTCATATAAACAAGTGGAAGGTTTACAGGACATTAACCAATCAGTTGAGATATTAGTTCGTTTACTTTCTGCTGTCCCTGGTTGGAGTGAGAAAATGTTTAGGTACTTTATAGTTTTGAATTTGTAGTTAGGAAGATTTAACAATACCTTTTTTTGTTTGCTTTACTTTGTTACGTCTTGATAAATGCAGGTTCAGCAACAAGTTGCTGAAATTATCACTTATATAGCCTCCACTGCAAAACAGTAGTACTTTTGGTTTGCTTTCTGTGTCTCCTTCACTGTTTCTATTTTGTGGATGTACATATAGATGTCAATCCTAGCATTTAATGGTGTTGTTCACTTTGATAGGTATATGTAAACGGCTCGCAGATATCAGATCCAGACAAATGTGATGAAGTGCCTTACGGCTTTTTCCAAATCCTTAGGTCCACGATTTGTTTTTGAAAGTGGAAGTTCTGGTGTGATATTTTTAATTCTCATCATCTTCAGTGCAAAAGTTTGTGTGCAAGTTTTTTGTTATAGTTGTATTTTTCTGTATGCATTATGTTTATCCTGAGCCAAAGGTTGCTAATCTTTTATTGATGAGTGTGTGCTGCTTGGTCTCCAATGATTGTTTATATTTACCAAGGGTATAATGAGAGGAAAAATTCATTCCAATAACTTGGAATGAACGTCTACTAAATTGTAGGGAATCCAATTAAGATGCTTAAGTCTTTGCGTGGAACTCCCACACCTGGGACTTGCAGCCATGTTTCCAATTGCAGCCATGTTTTCCTTAAGCAATAGGGACGGGATGAACGAGATGCAGCAATTGGAAACATGGCTGCAAGTCCCAGGTGTGGGAGTTCCACCCAAAGACTGGAACACCATAAGAGGTTCAGCAAATTGAAGATGCCCACAAGGATTTCTGAAGCAACCATTTCGAAAGGTGGCACAGCTCGGACCTCTTCATGAAAATTCCGGTTCTTTCATTTGGGTTTTCCTTAATTTCATCGGTACTTTATTCTCAAGAAAGTGAATATACAGCATATGGGTGGGAAAAGGGTATTTATTTATTTAGTTATTGAAATTTGAATGTAGACCGTTCAAATTATGGTTGCGGTGTTCTGGATCATTAAATTATGTATAAAATCAGTCAGAACTGTGCTCAATTTGATAATGTTGAACAATTTGGTCGGGTTTTCACACATATTGTTGGATTGTGTAGTGTTAGGCATTGCAAGTCTGAATGATGTTTTCCATTCGTGTGATCTGTGTTGAGATACTGTGTAATCCACTTGAGCTCTTTGAGTGTTTTTGTATGAAACTCATAGTTGTCGGAGAGTTTTAACCATCCTCTGAATTAGTGTCCTCGATCATGCCTAATTTGTTAAACCCTTTCCAATATAAGTGGTTTCAGGCCAAATCATGAGTTTTGACGTTAACATGTTTTGGAACCCTACTTTCCATGTAATCCAGAAGATGAAAACACAGAGAATCTGTATATCATGGTTAAATATTATTAATAAGTCTTGACATGCCAAAAGATTGCTGCATTTTCATTTAGGAACTTCATAGCCTTTCTTCTTAGTAAAATGAATTAATCAAGATTGTTTTTTCTTTATTATTTGGTCCATTTGGTCATTGTTGAGTGACTGACTAAGTATTACTTACCAATTGCAACAGCTGCATATTGAGGGGCCAAATAGCATGATTGTGGACTGTTTTGGTTCTTTATTGAACATTAGGATGTAATTAAATTTTGACATGGATTACACATTTAACATAGTTTTAAAAGCCGCAGTATCGTGCGGGTTCAATTTCTAGTGTAGACTGAAGTCCAAAGTCCAAACACAAAAGCATGGGTGATGTTCTATTTTTAGGGGGTATTGCAATTACTGCGAGCCTCGAAGTTGTCAATATTTCTTTCGATCTCAACCTAATAGCCAATTAAATGTAAGCATTAAGAATAGATTCGAACACTCAATATGAAATATAATAGAAGATTTATATAACTGTAAACTTCGAGTATATGTGGCTAAGCTACATCTTTAGATCTAGCTATAGAAATTTAGTTCAGGTGATATTAAAATACAAAATAATTGAATTCAAAAGCATAGAAAGAAACAATCTAAATTCCAATCTTGGCTCACTTCCATGGCAAAGCTTGAATCTCCAAGCTTCCACCTTGCTCTCGGCTTCTCTCTCCCTCTCTGTATGTGCGTGTAGGTGCCGGGAGAGAGTCTCTCAATCCTTATGCCGCGACTAATAAATGCTTCTTCTCCTTCTTTTCCTTATTCCTCACATACAAAAGAATAAAAGCCGCAAGCGGCACTTCATTTGGTTTGATTTCTCGAGGAATTGTACTAGAATTTGGTTTAATTTTTCTTTGTAGGAGAGCTTGCTAGTTGGATTGCTCTCTATAGAAGAGTGATTGATTTTAATTTTTGGTTTGGTGTGCTATCTCTTTTGGATCTATGTGTGAAGGGTGGAACTGTTTGACTTGCTAGATCTACTCCATTTGATGTTCTGAAAATGTGGTGGTAATTAGGTGATGCGATCGACTCATGGGCATTGTATTAAGGATACTTATGTAAATGAAATAGTTGGTTAATACTTAGAGATATAGTTCAATATTTGTTAATCAGTTGAAATGTGTAATTAGTTAGTTGGAGTGGCTGATGGTGACATGTGTAAATGAGTTGTATATATACAACTACCTTGTAATTTTATCATGTGAAATGAAAAGTTATTCTTTTCTAACATGGTATCCCTTGCCTCTGTCTAACGACTTGATCCCCCTTCCTTCGTCGCTACGTTTTCTGCGACTCTTCGTTGCTACGCTTCCATTTTCTTGAAGCTTCTTGCATCTAAAACCCTAATTTCTTTTGTAATCTTCCATGGCGACCGCAGCTTCTCCCTCCTCTGACTCTGGTTCTCACACTCATTCGATCGTCGATTCCAGCCCTAATCTTTTTTGTGCATCTCATGCTGCTTCCATCACGATCCAGAACATTGGATCTATGGTGCCGATCAAACTGACCATGACAAATTACTTAACTTGGAGTGCCTTATTCGCTCATATTTTCCGTCGATACAATCTTGCAGGCATTGTTGATGGCTCGATTCCTCCACCGCCTCAATTTCTCACTGATGCAACTGGATCTCGTGCTCTGAATCCAGCATATGTTACCTGGTTTGAGAATGATCAGAACATTCTCATCTGGATCAACTCTACACTTTCTGATTCCTTGATTCCCTACACTGTTGAAGTCAAATCTTCCCTAGAACTGTGGGCAAAATTGGAATCACGGCTTGTGACTGCTTCTCAATCGCATATTCATGAACTCAGATCTCGTCTTCAAAATCTGACTAAGGGAGATTCTTCTGCTGCACGATTTCTTCAACAAATTGAAGAGATTGCTGATGCTCTTGCCAGTGCAAGAGCTTCGATTGAAGATTCCGAGCTAATCTCTGTCATTCTTCATGGACTTCCACCTGAATATGACTCGTTTGTTGATGCAATTCAGTTTCACCTTGGTTTCACGAAAATTGATGACCTCCATGGCTTTCTTCTCAATAAGGAGATCCAATTAACGAATCGGAATAAAACATCTTCGTCTTCGCCATTTCAAGCCTTCAATTCCTCTACTGGTTTTCTTCCTACGCCTCCTTCTCAAGCTCTTATAGTGGCTCAAGACTTCAATTCTCAAGGTCGTGGTCCAGATCACACCAATACTCCAGCTCGAGGTTCAGTCTCCAATCCTCAACGAATGAATCCAAATTTTTCTGGTCATTCTTCTCATTCTGCTATGGTTGCCAGTACAACTTCTTCTTCTCCAACTTGGCTTGTGGACTCTGGCGCTAGCGCTTACATGACAAATTCGTATACTCATCTCCAGAATCCAGAACCTTACACAGGCCCTGAGCAAGTTTATATTGGCGATGGCAAAGGTTTGCCAATTCTTCACTCTGGCTTTTCTCAATTACCTACTTCTCATTACAATTTTCAGCTTTGAAATGTGTTACATGTCCCTGAATTGAAACACAATTTGCTTTCTGCAAATCAATTTCTCATTGATAATTGGTGTTCTATGCATCTTTATCCCTTTCACTTCACTGTGAAGGATATTTCTTCGGGGAAGATGCTCTTTAAAGGACCAGTGCAAAATGGTTTATATCCTTTTCAACCTCTCAACTCTGGTTTGGTGAATGATTCTCATCATGCATTTGCTGCTTCGGTCAATGCTTCCAGGGATGTCTGGCATCAACGATTAGGCCACCCCTCTCTTAAGATCATAAATAAGTTGACCTCTGAGTCTTGTGTTTCTGTTTCTGGTAATACTCATACTATTTTCTGTAATGGTTGTACATTAAGCAAGAGTTCTAAACTACCATTTGTTATTGTGCCAAGTCGGACAAGTAAACCTTTAGAATTACTTCACACAGATGTTTGGGGGCCATCATCTGTATCTTCTGTTCATCATCACAAATATTATGTCATTTTTGTGGATGATTTTACCAAACATTGTTGGTTCTTTCCTATGCAATATAAGTTTGATGTTTTTAGTATCTTTGTGAAGTTCAAGGCTCATGTTGAAAATATGTTGTGCACCAAAATTAAAACTCTGCGGTCTGATTCTAGTGGTGAATATTTGAGTTCTCAGTTTTCTCAATTTCTTGTTGAGCATGGCATTCACCATCAACTAAGATGTCATCACACCCCGGAGCAAAATGGTTGCTTTGAGCATAAACATCGACATATAGTGGAGACAGCAAGGACATTATTGATAGTTTCTCATGTTCCTCATATATATTGGGATCATGCGTTTGCTACTGCAGTTTATTTGATAAATAGAATGCCTACTGCATCCAAAGCTTCTCCATGGGAATTACTATTCAACAGATATCACACACTGAAAATATTTGGTTGTAGTTGCTTTCCTTGGTTGTAGCCTTATTCTACAACAAAGTTGGATCCTAAAAGCAAACTGTGCATCTTTCTGGGTTACAGCCTTAATCACAAAGGGTATAAATGTCTTGATCCTACCTCTCAAAGGATCTATGTGTCTAGACATGTCATCTTCGATAAGTCAAGCTTTCCTTTTCACATGCAAGTCTCTGCAGCATCCTCCCCACCATCCACTGTTACTCCCACTCACTCTATTCCATCTCAATTAACTTTTTCTACCACCATAGTCACCCCAGGTACTTCTCCTCCAGAGCATCCTCAAGTTTCTCAACCTCCTAATGTCTTTCCAATCTCATCATCCCCCATCCGTGCCTCTCCATCACCTCCACATCCACATCCACCTTCACATTCACATCTTCCCAACAATATTCATCATATGCAAATCCGAGCTAAATCTGGCATCTACAAGCCCAAGGCCTTAACTGCAACAAAACATCATTTACCCTCTCATCTTTCTCATGACTTTGTTCTTACTACATATCTTCAGGCCTGTAAATATCCACATTGGGTTTAAGCTATGCAGGATGAGTTTCTTGCACTGAAGCAAACTGGAACCTGGTCTTTGGTTCCTTCCTCTCACTCTACCAATGTAGTAGGCTGCAAATGGGTTTTCCGAATCAAAAGAAAACCTGAAGGTACAATTGACAGGTACAAGGCCCGTCTAATTGCTAAAGGATTTCACCAGCAAGCAGAATTGGACTATACATAGACCTTTAGTCCGGTTGCTAAACCGGTCACAATTCGAATTCTCCTCACTTTGGCTGCTCAATATGACTGGTTTCTTCATCAGCTTGATGTCAGCAATGCATTCCTGCAAGGTACTCTCTATGAATAGGTGTTTATGCAACAACCACCTGGTTTTGAAGACTCTCTTCATCCCAACCACATCTGCCATCTCCACAAGTCTCTCTATGGC